CCTGCTGTGCTTCAGACTGTGCTCTCCTTAGTTCATTTAGCTTCAATATCAGTTTGATACAGGTTCGTCCGACTGGGCTCGTCCAAAACATAAAGGCATTCTCTGCCCCTGTGTTGGCTTGGCATTAAAGTTGGAGCGTGTCCATGGTATCACTCAGCATTGCTGTAAGCTGCTTACAGACAACCTTCTCTATAATGCAAAGGAGTGATGTCAAAGCAATGAGGGAGACATCGTGCAAATCTAAAAGTTGCTGCAAATGTCTTGAAGCAGGGAGTGTGAGGAGTCTCCTGAGTTTGGACATGGGGGTCACAGTGCTAAAACATGCTGTGTCCTCCCTCGTGAGTGAAAGCAGAGTGAGCAAAATCCAATGTCAGACAGTCTCTGCAGCAGTAAAGCATTATCAAATGTACTGAGCGTGGCTTTGAAGAGGTCAGTATATACTGTAGGGCAGCTCAGTGCTGCTTTCAGAAAGTGACTTCACAATGTCACCTGGTCAACAAACGAGGCATGAAGTGCAGATGAGACAGAATGACAGCATCAATTCAATTCAATTCTATTTTATTTATATAGCGCCAAATCACAACAACAGTTATCTCTGAGCGCTTTTCATAAAAGAGCTAGACCGTACTGTAATCAGAGTCACTCAGTAATGCTTACCTGACAAAGGTTCCCTAAATTGGCTCAGCTCCATATCATTGCGATCTTATTGAGGAGTGTGAATTTATTTAAGATGCCTTACCGGGCAGGAATTTTGCCAGGAGTCCGACAAGATGAGTAAGGGTGTTAAACAAATGCCGTGGCAAGTTTCAAGTAGCTTAAACACCAGAGAATGTGAAGTAAATCTTTCACCCTGATTACCCAGGAGCAAGAGAAACACTGGTGTTGGGCTGCTTTGATTTACGAGTGTGCTTTGTGATTTTGGATCACGTCACAATAAAGCAAACTCATGCACGCTAAAACGCTTCACTAGTCCATATAATCAATGATTCTGCCTTTCAGCAAAATTGACAGGGCTGAACTTTGCACATTTAATCATATAGATGCTTTGCAAAGCTCTCACAGCATTCAGGTGGTGTTTAGGTCACAGTAATACAGCTGGGAGTACCTTCATTTGTCAGCATGGGTGAGACTGGCCCGGTATTGAAGTCCTCACTCAGGGCAGGACAATTATAATCAATGTTTATGAAGAATGACAGAGTGTGACATGCACATTACATTTTGCACTGACAGAGCATGGGGAGAATAAAGCGGCAGTAGGTTATCAAAATGGGGTTCAGGGACTTATAGGGGTCCTTTATGACTGGCTGATAAGGAAGGCAAGATGTCTTTGATGTCTCTTTTATTTCATTCGAATGTAGGACGATGCTGTAATTGATTTTGTGATGACTGATCTGATCCTCTTTTCTACTCATTAGTGACTCAAATGTGACTGTATCCTAATGTACAGTATCTATATGGAGATGTGTACATCTTGTATGAAAATTCCAGCATGGATATAATAAGGCAACTTCCAACATGCATGCTTAAAGAGGTATTTGCAACATACTGCCCTTTTAATATTCTCCGTATTCCCCTTTAAGGCTACGTAAAGTGTTCATTGGTGTAGTGTTTTTGCATGAGACATTAAAGACATTAAACAAATACAGACAGAGATGAAAATATAAATTAAATTCAATGTGCAAAGGGAGACGAGACATCCTCAAAACATAAAGAAGAGATTTAGCTGTCATTCAAAGGTGCAAGTGAGCATGAAATTTAAATTTGATACATCAGTGGATACAGCAGATACTGTAGGTCACGGAGTACACTTTACAATAAGGCAGTGGCAAAAATTCATTTCCAATCCAATCAGATTTTCTTTTTCAAGAAATCAGCCACTCATTTAGTCTACTAAACACCAGAAACTATCTTGAGCGTCCATCATAAGTTACTAAAGGCCCAAAGTTTTCTCACAAGTCTATCACATATTCTGTACAGCATAAAAGAAACTTGATCACTGTGACTGTGATCACTATGAGGTTTCCACTATATTGAGTTACAGTGGTGGACAAAGTATTAACATATTTTACTTCTGGTGGAGAGTTTGGTGAGTTAACTTGGCTTAAAAACGGGAAAATGGGGAAACAGTTGACCTGGCTCTGTCCAACAATAACAGAATCCACCCACCTGCACCTCTAAAGCTCAATCATTAACAGGCTATATTGTAGGCCTATCTTGTTTGTTTAATCTGTACAAAAAACATTTTATGGGGGGTTTAGTCTCTGATGGTGTCCTGGCAACTGGACCTGTTGTATTTTTATTTTTTTGTTAAGGATTAAACAAATGAGATAATGTGTTAATTAGTGAGCTTTAGGGTTGATGCTAGGTGGATTTTGTTACACTCAGACAGAGCCCAGCCATCCTTTTCCCCCTGTTTCCCTTAAATGCTGATCATACAGATGCTTAAGTGTAAAATCTTAATCAGCAAAGTAATTAGTAACTGAAGCTGTCAAATAGGCCTAAATGCAGTGCTTTACTCCACTGGTTGATTTAATGTATTTATTAATTATACTGTAGGCTATATGGAGTAATTCAGCATTACAGCCTGCTGTATAATAATTACAGGCAACAATGATGAATATATGATGTACTGTCGATACAATTTAATCTGTGTAGGGGTATAGTTATTTCCCCGGTGAGTTCAGCAGAGACCTCTTATAAGGGAGTGAGAGGATGAAACGGGACCAAAGCGGTGCGACTGCTGCGTCGCTGCGCACATCGACGCACACACCGACAGACTCACAGCTGCTGGAAACCTGCACTGACAGGAGGTTGTAAACTGCAATCGAATAGTTGGATCCGGACTCTTGAACCGGCAGTTTCTCAGTCTCTGACTGCTGCCGGAGACGTTTATTTGCAAAGGTCGCTATGATTTCTTCCTGGATCGTTAATCAAATCAAATAATTTCCCCCCGGACTGAAGCTATCAGGTAGGTGAGGACTAAAATAACAACCTGAACTCACTTTTTACACTTCAGGGTTGATAGGGGTTGATTTCATGAATTAGCATGAAAGTAATAAAAATAGATAAAAGCCCAAATTAGCGAATGGATTTTTGTTTCTAGCTGTGGTTGCTGATCATCATAACTGGCATACTCATTTAATCTGAGAAAAACGCTCTTTAAGATATTTTAGTATTCTTAATGGATATTTGGTAAATTGTCTATAGTGGCTATAGGGCTGTAACTGTTTGTTTTCGTTATCGATTCATCTGCTGATTGTATTCTTGATTAATTAATCAGTTAATCTATAGACTAATCCATTACATTACATCTCAAAGTGATATCTGAATATCTAACCAACAGTCAAAAACAACAATTAACTGAGAGTCCAAATAGTTTAATTTTAATTTAATGTTTATTGGTCTGTGGAAAGACTAATTGATTTGTATGTACAACATAATTGTATGTTAAGATGTTCCAGCTTTATCTTCCTTATTCTCCAAATAAGTAGTTTACAATTATAATAATAATAATAATAATAATAAATTGAATTTGTATAGCGCTTTTCACGAACTCAAAGTCGCTTTACAGAGCAGATAAAGAAACATGACAACAACAAGATGGGTCTTATGGCGGGACTGGAAAATGGTGAGGGACTCAGAGGTGCAGATCTCATGGGGGAGGGAGCTCCAGAGCCTGGGAGCTGCTATATCCTTTTTTAAATCCTTTTATTTAATGTATAGTAGTATATAATATTGTTTCAAAGATTTATGTGGTAAAGTTTGTGATTTGCTATCTTACTCTTTCTTTTGCACCTCCAATAATATTTCCATTATACTGTGATGTTCTTTTACTGAGACATTTAGCTTATCAATATTAATATTATTCTAGGGCTCCTGTAGAAAACAAAAATATTTCTGAACAACTTGCTTGACATTTATCATCTCGATAAAAGATGTTTATCAGCTGTTCTGTGTATTGTTATCTGACAGTCACCCAATGCACTGTGTCCTATAGATGATTAAATTTACATTCACCTTCACTGCTCTCACGTACACTACTGTTCATTTTATAGAGTACAGACAGTTAGTTAATTTCATCACAAATCACTATTTCAAAGTTCATCTGCTGCATATTGATGAGCCCACACCTTGTTTAATGGTTTGTCATTTTTTGAAAGGGACAAATCTTGAGTGAAGGGACTCACACTATAGAAAAATGCTATTATTATGATAATCCTGAACTTTACTAGCTTCCCCTCAGAGGACGAAGGCATCTGAAAAGGGGAAATGGTGTAGAAATTTGGCTGAATATGTGCTGGAAGATGATGGGAGCAGAAAATTATCAACGTAACAATGATAAAACGCATACAGGAGGTTAGAGGAGTTGAAATTGCATATCGTTACAGGGTTTAGCAGCATTTTTAAGGAGGAAAGCTCCAGCCTTAGACTCAGTAGGCAGCAAAATACAAAATAAAGACATTTCTGAAGATGAACTTTAGGGACAGACTTCCCATTTTTCACCTTTTGATTCTCTATATTTTTTTCTCCTTCTTAGTCACAGGTTTCTTCAAATCAGCATAGAAGACGCCTTCCCACCCTGGATACACAGTTATGACACGGCCTGTCAAAAATCTCCCTCCCCCTCTCTCTTCAGCCGGGTTGTACTTTGACATCTCATTTAGCTAGTATGCAAACCTTTCTCCTCTTGTGCTGGATCAAGTCTTGGTTTTCTATATCTGTAATGGTAAATGATGAACAATAATTTCCGAGTGAATGTAGAAAAGTACCCTGAGAATGATACTTTAGCCAGTAATGCCCAGACTAAGCCCATGTTCAGGCGGCCCCTTTGCAACAGGGATGCAAATGCAGAGGGCTCCATGCAAAAACTGCACGGCCGTTTGACAAAAAAGTTGAACCTGGCTCAATGCAAGATCATCCTGCAAGTCATCAAATTAGATTACTTTGTTACTTGAACAAAAGATAAAATAATTGCCTCTGTGATCAAGAGTTGTGAAATCCTGTCTCTGAGTATTATAAGCCGCTCTTAAATGAAGGGCTGAATTTCAGTCTGAACGGCCGCTAATGGGGGCCCCTCATAGGTGCTGGTCATCTATAAAACTTCCTTCCAGTGGTCCTCTTTTGTTTGTGGGAACACTGTGGCTTCTGTCAATGATTATGACTGCATATGCTTGCCCTAAGATCTGTCACTGTACAGACAGGAACGGTTTGGTGGTGCAGTGCACCTCACACAACTTAGAGAATGTCCCACAGAACTTGCCCAAGGACACCGTTGTTCTCTTACTTTCATCTAACCGGATCAGACACATCCCAAAGGAGGCCTTCACAGACCTGCATCGCCTCCGGGAACTTGACTTATCTCACAACGCCATTGAGAGCGTGGAGGTCGGTGCCTTTCAAGGAATTTCCGATAGCCTGCGGACCTTGGATCTGTCAAACAATCACCTCAGTAGCCTCCCCAAGGACACCTTCGCCAAGCTCCACGCCCGTGTCCGCCTGTCCCACAATCCTTGGCACTGTGAGTGCTCTTTGCAGGAGGTGCTGAGGGAGCTGAGGCTTGACCCCGAGACGGTGAATGAGGTCAACTGCTACACATCAGTGCAGGAGGAGTACATTGGACAACCGGTGATCCAGGTCCTGGACTCTGGGATCAACTTTTGCAATTTCCACCACAAGACGACTGATGTGGCCATGTTCGTGGCCATGTTCTGCTGGTTCTCCATGGTGACAGCTTACATCATTTACTACATCAAACACAACCAGGAGGATGCCAGGAGGCACATGGAGTACCTCAAGTCCCTGCCCAGCACATCCCACATTAGCAAGGACTACGACACAGCCAGCAGCGTGTTTTGATGTGAGAAAAGATGGTGTACCAATGAATACAGATGAAAGAGTCCCAATGAATATGTTTACGGCACATAAGGATCAATGATAAGTGAGCATTGTAATGAGTGATTAACTCTATGATATACACTGCACACGGTGCAAAGACATTAGGAAGAGGTTCAAAAATCTCATCATTATCAAGTACAGGCTTAAAAGTAGCACCAGATTCCTTTAAACTACAAAATAAAACTGAAATGAATCGACATTACACTTTCAGCTTATTAAAAAGTAATCTCATATGTGTGACCAGCAGGAATACATTTAGAGTTTTCAGCAGTCTCGTTTTGTTTTCCTTCCACAATAACAAAAGGTGGAAGATCATTATTTTTCACTCACATGTTATGTGCAATGCATAAAAAACATCTCGAAAAGAAACCTCACCAAAACTCCAAATAGTTTTGCATGTAATGAAGTGGTTTAAGTGAGGCAAACCTGAGTACAGTGAAATTAGGCACTTGAAAAATTATCCCTAGGGCTTCAGTTGGGGATACTTGTAGAAAAATATCACTGCTGAGATTAAAGTTGTTTTTGTGAGAGAGTTAAGTTTTATGATGGGAGTAGCAGAGAGAGACAAAAAAGTGATAATATTAATATTTAGATGTATTATCTGTTCAATACCCTGTCAAGACTTCTTAATGTAAAGAGATTATATATTTAATAATCCACAAAGGATCTAAGGCAGTAGCGCAGAATTGTTGGCATTGAACCCTTCTGGTGCTCCTACACCTTACATATAAGTTCCGTCTGTGACCAGGAATTACATTTCACGCTTGAGAATGCTTGTCACCTCCCCTAATGTTTTGCTTCAAAAGGTAATAACTTTGTCACTTTTGAGAGAGAAAATAATCAATTCCTGTCACAGAAAACTTCAATTAGATGAGCCTGTCTCAGCTATCACACAAGTCTTTTTCATTTTTTAAACGATCCTACAAGTTTTTATAAATTGCACTTCTGTAACATTTCTCAAGTTAAAGTCAGTAGAAAGTAGTTTTGTGAAATTCCTACATGCAGTTTTAGGACGAAGCATTGTGAATGAGAAACAGATCACACAAGTTCCAGCACATTATAGTCATGTTAAACACACAACAATATAGTAGGAAAATCATTTATACATTGGGAGAAGTGAGCAAAACTGCAATCTAATGTCAATATGTACACTCAGTGGATCTGAGTTTCTTCTTCTGCCCAGTTGGTTCAAGTAAAAAAGAAACCTAGTTTCAGTCAGCTTCCTGTAAATACATCACTCTCTTCCTGTTGTATCTGACACCTAATGTTCATTTGAGCGAGTGGAGCCATTCCATTTGTTCTTACAAGTCAAATTTCTATCCAAATATAGTGAAACATTTGGCTGGATTTTACGACATTTGGTAAAAGAAAATGTGAGTTAATGTGCATTTTCTTCCACCATTGTTACATGAATACTAGAAGTTGGGTGCATAGAGATAAACAGCTGGTGGTGCTCCAGTCAGATGCCATTGAACCACTGCAGAAGAAAAGAGCGTATCAAGATGACATAATTAAATAAGTCTGACCTCAAACAGTGATGAAAATGTGTTTCATGTATTAATTTAAGTTTCCATCTCCTCATTGCTTCACACAGATCTAATGTTTTCATCTGCTGCCATTCGTTGGAGCAGAAGCTTGAATCTGTTTCCACTGTACTCTGTAGCATTTCGGTTTTTATCAGTAACCATCAATGCACAAATTGAAAATGCATAAGTGGATGGAAATCCCCCCCTCGGGTGAAGTTTTGGTTAGTTTTACTGACAAAAAGGCCATGGCTAGCTTTAGGGAAAATCATAGTTTGCATTGCAAAATCGATTAAGGTTAGGCAATGATCATGGTTAAGAGAAACTAGCAAACAACATTTTCTTAATCCATCCATCTACTATAACAATTTCTCTTAGTGCACTATGTGGATCTATAACAATCTCACACTTTTTCCCCTATTGCTCCTGACAAAAGACATAATTCATACAGTCACTTGAACATAACACTTTTTCTAAAATGACTAAAGCCGTTGTTTATCTTAGGACAGTTAGTTTTTCAATTCACTTTTTGATTAAGAAGAAAAAAAAACTGTGTATTGCTAATTACAACCCCGAGAAAACTGACTTGAATAAACATAAAGGTTTTAACTGTTCCTTCCTTTCACGGGTCACTAAGTATTCCAGCCTTTTGCTCACTATGTCAGATACAGCTTTCTCGCTAGGTCTTATCACATGACAGTGCTGTATTTTCCCCCCTTTCCTATTTGTAAAATAAAACCAAACAAAACATATCGGAATCCTGCTCCTTCTTCACGTCAGGAAAAGTAGAAATGGTAAACATCAGTGAAATTATGAATCTGTTTGTTTGATGGAGAACAAGATTTGAATTGAATTCTGTGTTTTTTATGGTCGCTGTTGTCACAGCCTCTAGCCAATAAATATACCAAAAGTTCCCAAACCTTTATCAACTCCTTTGCAAGCCATAGCACATTCCTCAAAATGAGATCCTGTTATTTGTCCCTCCAGATTACTATGAAAAATGCCCACAGCTCCAAATATGGAACCCATATATCTTCAGCTGCATAGATCTGGATGACGCAGAATATTAATATGTGTCTTGCAACCCAAAAATAGTTTCATCCCATGAACAGTTCAAATCCATAAATCTAATAAGTCTTTGTGGGAGGCATTTTGTGAGCTGCTCACTTAGGATATTACTACAGTAAAAATGTATTTCAATGATGTCCAAACGTGTTTCAAAGGAAGCCAAATTTGATTATGTGTACATACATGTGCCTCTTGTCATACTTTTTTACCATAACAAAGTCACACACAAATGTAATGCACAATTTTATTTTCTGTGAAAGACTGTCAGTGTGTGGCAGTGTAGTCAAATGTAAATCACTCAAGCTGTGAACAGGTCTCCACAAAGCAATTCAGCCTTTCTCACTGAGGGCAATGGTATAGCTGCGCAAAATGTCCCATACGTCCCAGACCTCAAGTGGCTCTGGTTATTGTTCATGTTCATAACAGAGAATGTCTGCTCAAACAAATATGTGGGGCTGAAAAAGCATTTACTTTTCAAATGTTTGCATTTCTGGGAACATGCCTTTGTTATGTCATTGAAGAAATCTTCTAGCCAGATAGGATCTTGCATTGGTTGTTCATTTTCTGCTAATAATTGGCCCACTGCAGCACAGACCCCCAGATGAGCCATGTCATATAGTTTTGTAGATAACATCTGCTTATTCTGCCTAGATGTCAAGCAGAAATTGCTGAAACTGGGTGGTGGTACAGGCTTTGGCGCAAATTAAGTTAATAGTCTTAGTTAATAACAGCTTTCTGCGAAGGAATATTGACATTTCCATAGCTCCTGGGGGCCTTCATTATCAACCTTTCTTTTTTCTACAGATAGCTGCCAAATCAATGTGAAAAGTGAAACTTGCAACTTAGTATTTGTGACACAGTTTATATTACTTCTGTCAACAATGCCTTAATAATACATTTTAAAAGCAAAGCCGCAGGCTGTGTAAAATCTACCCTTTTGCCATGATTGGCCCGCAGGCTGGACTTTGGACATGTCTCATTTATATAATCATGTAAATTGCTTGATTCACCTGTTTATTCTTTCTGAATGATCAATTCAGAAAAAAACCCAAATTTTGGCCTGTTTACTAGCTTCCCTCTTTTCCACCAGCACAAAGCATGTAATATATTTTGTTTCGTATCTAATGCTGACCTTGTTGTTTCTAAAACTCGACCTATCTCTTCTGTCAAACGGTTACAACATTAATTACAGTCCACATTACTTTGTCACATTACAAGTCCCAAGGGCTGTGGCGTACATCCTAATGCACTGAATATTATTAATTAGCGGGATACAGTTGAGGTCAGTGTGTCTCCCTAAGTTTAAGTTCAGACAAACGAGTGGCACTTCATTAGCGTCACATAAGCACCAGCAGAAAGGGAAATGACAAGTTTCACTGGCAGATTTTTATCAACTATATGTGATAAAGCTTCAGCTTTATCACATATAGTCACCTGAGTGAAACACAATTCTTAAATGCAAGGGAGCTGCTTTTTAACCGAGTCACATCCTGGATTATAACAAAGGTCAGCAGTGCTTTAGCTAAACTCTGCATACACGTTTGCTCACTTAACTTCATATGTGTCTACATTCTTTGGTTATCGTTATAAGACCCAGCTAGCCTAGCTGCATCCTCCCCAAGTATGCTTTAATTCTCTGCTTGCTTTTAAAGGCTAAGAAAAACCTCACTGTATATTTTCTCTCTTTCTCTCACTTCTTTACCAGCACTCATGATGGCCATCATTATCGCTCTACGGACTCTCACTTGCTTGACTTTGGTATACAATTCAGGCTGATTCTGTAACTGAAGTCTGTAAACGGGAGAATCTGCCCCATGCCTACACTGCAAATGCCTGGTCTGGCATTCTTGTGCAACATGATGAGTTCCCAACATTTTAGTCACAATAACCACAGACGGGTCAAAACCACTGCTCTAGTAATGTGGAGTACTCAAAAATGGAGGTACGAGACAAGAACATTTCTGTACTTACAGGTACACTTTTCAAGAATGTTCCCTCAAAGGTACAATATTGATCTTAAAGAGACCAGAAGTGCACCTTTTGACTACAGAAAGGGTACAAAGTGATTTAAAACAAAAATAAGAACAAATCTGTACCCTTTCTGTCTGTCAAAGGACATTTGCAATGCAGCCATGAAAAACGTTTGTAGCTCATTTGCTACTTCCAAAGTTGGCACCTACACATGAGAAAAACACAAACTCTTCATTTCCAGGAACCTTTATGCATTATTGTTGGCAAACCTTTTTGGCCTCTAGATACCCTTGGTGTTAGCAAAAAGTAAAGATTTAATGCTACAGTCTATGCGCTCAAGTGATTGGGATATTGACATGTCACTCAGGGGTTGCATGTAAACTGTTAGCTCTGGCTGCGGTCTATATGGCTACGGTTAGCTAGCTAAATTGGTTTCACTGACAGTGCAGTCCAACCATTTATTTTTTATACAGTCAATGCGTGGTAGTCTAAATCTAACAATCTAAGCTAAATATTATAGTAATATAGTAGTATTATAGTAATATTATATTCAAATGTATTTTGGTAGTATTATAGTAATACTATAGTAAAGTAAATATAGTAGTATTAAAGTAAAATTATATTATTATTATTTTGGTTTTATATGGTTGGGTTTTTTTCCCCAAGTGGATCAAAGAAAAAATCTGATATGACCACAGTCTAACGTTGTGACCGACATGCTTTACATGTATGTGTATGCTGTGAGAATCATCATCAACAAGCTAAGCCAATCAGAGGCAGAGTAGGGCGGGACATGCCTCTGCCGTATTCACTCCCCCGCCCCGACAGAGTTAACGGTTAGTGTGCCGCTCAAACTCCGAGCAGGACCGAAGATGTCAAGCTTATTTACAGCTACTAGCAATGTCACTGGGTCTGTCGACTAAGGCGCTACTACAAAAGCTGGTGGTGGAAGGAGGCGGCTCAGAAATGTAGAGGTAAGTGGAATGTGAATTTCACATTAATTGTAATTTACTGTACTGGTAACCAACGATCCGAATTTAGCTAGCTAATATCTGAAGAGCTATGTTAGCCTGGGTATCTACAGCCAATGTTCAGCATTGCATGTCCTTAGATAGCTTGCTAAGTTTGTTCTGATATTATAACGTTAGTCACTAATTCACATTCCGGTAGCAGTACAGTGCTTATTGAATCAGTCGGTCTTAAAACGTTACGTTTGGCTTGGCCAGCTTTTGAAATGTTAAGAGTGACAAGTAGCTCCTCTATTCGCGGGCTTTGTAACATTAAATCAGCGTCGAACTTTCTGGATCAAACCAGTTTTTCAAACTTATTTCACACAAAATATATATCAACAGGTTCAGAAATGCCTTATGCTGCTGACGGTGGGATCATTTAGTCCTAATGACTAAAGTTACAGTTTCTGATTTTTATTTGAGTCTTGTTTCATGGCAAGTTTAACAGGGTTCTCAGTCTATTTTAACAGCAGGGCAGTTTACCAGATCAAATTTCACAGGTGATGTTGATTCGCTGATTAAATATCAGGGCACTTTGATGCTGTGACTGGTGGTGAGTCAGCAGTTGCTGGGCAGAAATTGACATGGCTAACTGTGATTGGTACAAATAAAGCAGAGTCTTAATGTGCATGGCTGCTTTCTTCAGTTCAGAAGTTTTCCAGTTTGAATAATGCTGTTAACCAATATCATGCGGTAAATATCTGAACTTTACAGCAGCTTCTCTGTCAAGGGGTTTTCAATTAAAGTTTTTAAGATTTTTTTTTGTTCTGTTCTTAACCCAATCCATTAATTGTGTCAGTCATTCTCTGTAGTAATCATGATTTGTATGTCCAAAGTGTCTGTGCTTCTGTGTGTATTTAATGGATTTCTTATTTACATTTCAGACGATGACGTAGATGGCGAGAGAGTGGATTGCATACCCACAGAGAGTATGATCGGGTATCTCTGACAAGTCTGACCAAAAGCTGTTAAAGTTCAGACTTCACACTCTGCTACAAGGAGGTCACCCTTAATTTGGAAGCAGTCAAGCTAGAACAACAAACATGTGTCCCATACAAACCAGAGGTAAGAATGTAATAAATGCACCACTCTTTCACCTTTTCTTTGTTGCATAGATTGACCTAATCTGCATCAATGTGGTGGCAAATTAGCTAAGATAAAGTGATTCTTCTGCTGTTTTGCAGGTGGGAACCTACTTGACACAGACAGCCTTGCAGAACCGGTCCAAAAGTAACAACAGTACCGCAACAACATAATGAGGAGTCTATATGAAATGCAGTGTACAATGTAAGTGTTACTGTTTAAATATAACAAGTATGTACAGGCTTTGAGAAAATAATTTGTTTATTCTCAGTGGTAACAACCAGTAAAGAATGGACGACTGAAAGCATGTCAAAAGCAATATTAACTTCTGACCTGCAATCCTGAAGTACTCACTGGTCTTAACTTGTATTATAGGTTGTTTAAGTACTGCAAATAAAATGTATTTCTTTCCCATATTTTTCTGTTTTATATCTCAGTTGTGCGATGAGGTCGATGCTATGCAACCCTTTGCAGTCAACAATTGCCACCACTTCAGTGAAAACTTCACATTTGGATTTGTCACTGAAAAAAACCCACATGGATGAAAGAGAATCCCTTGGCTGAGGATATTATTACAGGTACTGATTTTAACACATACATTACAAATGAGGATGGGGATCGTTAATTTTTATTGATATAGATGACATTATTGAGACTGCTTAACAGTCTCAGTCTCTCGATACACTATCGATAGTTCCTATTATTTACTGACTGTTATTTGGTCAGACCAGACCCAACGGGCAGAGGTAGGTATGACCTGCGATAAATAAAACAAATATTGAAGTGTGCATTTAAACTGCCTGGTTGTTCTTAAATTAATTATAGGATTAGAATTTAATATTTTAAATACAACTGTTTCTAGAGCAGCAACATTAATGTTTACAACATCAAGTCACTACATAAACAATATGTGACACCCCAATACTGAGTGACGTTTAGAAAGAATGAAATGAGATGTTACCTTTTTTAATTTAATTGCATCCACATTCTTCCACATCTTGGATTTTATGTTAATAAGTGATGGCTTGTGTAAGCTTTGTCTTCAAATTAGGCACCATTTTCGCTCAATTATCTACATCATTGATACCGCCTTGCGGTCAGTGTCAGACATCATGTGTTGTGATTTGATACTATTCTACTAATTTGAATGTCTATTCCAATGTAAAACCTGAATGTGAAATTGTTTGTTCCATGCATTTGCAAATGTAGGAACGTGTCAGTCACAAATAAGCAAGGCACCCTTAAAATTGTACCATCTTAATGACCTAGGAATGTTATTTTGGATTACTGTGCCCCCCTTACCACATCCATTTTGTTATGAATGCTAAAATGTTGTTTTTTTTCTCTCTTATGTAGAATGATCCCCTAACTCCCATCCAATCATTCAACTGAAAGACCACGACTGGAAAACTGCCCTCTACAGACATTGCAGTGTTTTCAAATTGGAAGGAATTGAAGTTTGTTCCTGCACTTCAGTGGATGCCTCATCCAGTTTATCACAGCCTTCTGCTTCGTCTTCAACATGACATATCCTACAAACTTTCAAAAGACCCTGAACTTTCTCCGAAGGCACATCATGGACTTTATGGAAGATTGAGACAAACCCCTGCTGGTAACTGTAACTTGAGGCATTAACCTTCTTTACTGAAAATGCCTGGACTGCATTACTGTTTGAAATGTTCAAAGAGGACCTTTGCTCTGAGGCAAGTGATTCAACACACTGGACTTGTACATGCCCACAAACCTTTCTTTTCGGTGGCATGTTTATTGAAAACACAAAGACAAAATTTCTAATTGCTGAAAAAAAACCCTGAAGAACCTTTCAAATAACTAGTATAACTTACCCACACCTGGTATTTTAAAGATGTGCAGTTTCAGGATACAGTACTTCAGCGTATGTCATCTTTATCTGGTAATGGTGTCAAAGGATGTTTTTGTTGTAGGTAATGTACACCCTGAAGCCATCTCTTTATTGAAAATTAATCACAATCTGAACATTGAGACTTTGTGTGTTGGGGTGTTGTGTAGGAAACTTGTCATCAATTGGAATCTGCTAAATCCACCATCAGGCTCTAGACACATTTAGTTGATGGTAGATTCATTGAGGTATTTCTGTCTAAATATTATCTGCCAAAATATATTTTTTTACTTTTTGTCTAAATATGCTTATACTGTTTTGTTGATGCATAGTGTACATGCAGACGTGGGACAAATCAAAGTATCTTTTGTTCTATGTGTTCTGTAGTTTCAGAGTAGGTGTAGTTTCATATTTTTTGTAAAACTATCTGCAATGAATTAACTTTGTATTACCACAAATACATGTCATGTTCATCTGGAAAATTACATTTTCATTGATGTCAATAAACAGTCAAAGTATTATTGTGTGGAGAATTATGGTACATTTTTGTCTCCTTAAAGTCCAGAATAGCTTGTCGCAGGGGTGGTACCCTTAATAGGACATTTTAGTACCCTTTTAATGGGTACATTATTGTACTATAGTTTAAAAGGTACGTTTATGTCTTGCAGGGTACACAATTGTACCAATTTCATAAGGTACAAAAATGTACCGGCACTAAAGGGTACACAATTGTCCCTCAAAAGGGTACCTCCCCTGCGACAAGCATTTGTACCCTTTTAAGTACACACCCGTACTTCTATTTCTGAGTGTGGGATGGGGAGGGAAAGCATTCATTTTGTAAATGACGTGCTCCTCAAACTGAGCACAAATTACATTTCTCAAGGCTGTTGAATAATCAGATTCCCATATTGCTGAGCAAGGAGGACACAGAATGTACAATAAAGATTAAAGGTAAATGTATTACTTTTGTTTCTTTTGATTGCCTGAGTCCTCATGTCATTCTCTTGGTTTGTTGTGAAACCACAATAACAAGAAATACTTTCTCAGAGCATACTATCCCTCTAACTCATTACAGTGTTGGCAAATGTGTTGGTTTATTAATATTGCACTGTTCAATGTTCAATTCCAATCCTTTGCAGTGTCATTGATTTATGATATACATTAATAAGCTTCAAAAGGGAGAACAGGATTCCTTTATGGAGATCCTGTTGTTTCCAGATTCTAGATTACCTGAAGGCCATCCTTTGTCTTCACCCATAAACAATGACCTTCTGTATAATAGAAAATGTCAAGGGGCAAATGTGTATGCGTAGTACCTTTAGTTTCTCTTGATTCACTTATTTGTATACCATACCTTGATATTTTCAAGGTAAATAAATTGAGTGTTTATTGAATTAATAATTTCTGTTACCAAAGGATCTATGCTGATCCCACTAGAATGCTGTTTGACCATTCAACAGATGTGCTGGTATTTGCAACATGTGGTCTTTTTATTGTGGTTGGTCCACGTACTGTTCGTTCGTTCGTTCTTTCATTCGGTTTTTAGTTTCAAAACCGAATCAGAAAAACAGATAAACAGAAAACAAAAAAAAAAAACAGCCACCAGTTTTTGTTTTTCTGTTTCAAAACCAAAATGGAAAAATGTTGATTTTGATATTTAATGAGTCCGAATAGTCTTTGTGTGTTACACTTGATAACCCTGCAGTAATTAAGATGAGCTTGAACATCAACATAAGTGTGTTTTTATTTAGAAAAACAGGACAATATTATATAGCTGCAGCCTCCAGTACTACAAGATTTCTTCAGTATCAAATTTGATAGTTGTCAGTACATCCAATGGTACACAGCAAACATGAACTGTTATTAGTTAATATTAACGAAAATACACGGATTAAAATGTTTGGGTAATTTTCATTCAGCCTCTCTACACTGTTTCGACCTGACCTTTATTTTCTTTGTGAGATGGAAGAATTTAGAAAGTTGCGCGGTGCTCCGGAGAGCCTCCGGCTGCAGTAACACATGGATTATGCGTAAAACCAGGAGTATCAGACTTCATCCAGCCAGAGGGAACGACCACTGACTGTCCAGTGCGCTGGTTCCACTGGCAACACAACCCATAGAAGGGTGAACAGAGGGAAAGCGGGGGGGGGGGGGGGGGCGAGGAAGAGGAGGTCGCACCCTGGCCGTAGCCTCGAAAAAAACCCTTGATAAAAATGTTTGGGTAGTTTTTTAGATCGCTCAGGTAACTAGCTGCTTCAGATCAGCCCAAAACAAAATGCTTCCTTGATGCTGATGAATTTTGAGTGTTTGAGGCTCTGTAATATAGTGCTCGCTTCTACAATCATATTCGCCACAGTTGATATGAGATGCGATGCGACCTGAAAAGAAAAAGGCTTTTATGAAATGAAATATAAAAATATTTAGCCTCCAATATTTACAAACAAAATAATGAAAGAATGAACCAAACCATTGTTGTTTCACAACAATTCTGATTCTGATCTTATCAAAATCTGCTTGTAGACTGAACAATTTTTTACTTAATTTTTATGAACTATATCTGTCTTTTAGGCTTACTAAGGCCTGGTATAAGACAAAAATGGGGGGATACATGAACCCCGTGATTGTTAGAGCTAGGCTAACAATACAATTACTACAATCACCTCTACAATTAGCCTAATCAGTCTGCTTTTTTGTCTAAAGGCTTACTTTCTCTACTTTCTCAGCCGCAGCGTATTTAGAGCTTGGTGCCAATTATACCAAGGTCATGGATTCAATGCATATACCAGTGTTGGGCAAGCTACTTGGAAAATGTAGTGAGCTAAGCTACTTGCTACTCTACATTAAATGAAGCTTCACTACACAGAAGCTACTCCCCAGTGAAATGTAGCAAGCTAAGCTACAGCAACATGGCAAAAGTAGCTTAGTAGCTTAGTTACATCTAAGCTACTTTAAATTTTTTTACATTTTATAGTTTGGTCTAGTGACACCATATATATATATATGTATATGTATATACTTCATTCCACAGTAGCGATATAAAAAAGATAAAACCCTGCTCCAAACAGTGTGTGTGCGCGAAAGGGAGAGCTAAATCAGACACACAGAAACTCTCCTACTTACTGCCATATCATTGCAGCTAAATGTAATTTCCTCATGCAACAAACGGAGAACCATTGTTGTTTGTATAAAGTGACTTTATTATCACATTTCTATCATTAATATTATTTGCTATTTTAATAATTGTTCCTTTAAAAATTATACTGCTTGTCAAAAATCAAGACATATTTTTAACACAGGCCTAAATTGTGTTTTTATTCCTCTTTCTTTAGTTTTTATAATGTGATTTAATTGCTTATTAATTATATATTTTTATTGTTTATATGTGAATTTGTGCTCTGGCAACATTGCAACCTAAAAAACCTAAACATTCATGGCAATAGGCGAGAGAGAGAGAGAGAAAGAGAGAGAGAGAGAGATCTCATCTCAACAAGTTTCTGCCACTACATATCAAAGTTTCCTCCTCACTAGAGGAAGAGGTGTCCAGGCTGGACCCTGATCCTTCTCACAAGAGGTGTTACAATAACTATCACAATAGAAACTAAACTCAATTGCGTGTGACTTTATTCCCCTGCTGCAAAGTCGAAGACATCAGCCCAAGGATCGGTACGTGATGTCACCGTCACACGGAAGCGCGTCTGCCGGCTGCACCTACAGGTCCTTGTGTGGCGGTGGCATCACTTGCTGATCCTTCAGAAATGCTTGAGAAAATGTAGCGTATGTGGAAGCTACTGCGCTATTCGGTCAATAAAAGAGCTTCGTTAATGAAAAGCTATTTGATTCAGAAAATAGCGACGCTACCACCAAGCTACTGAGAAATGTAGTTAAACTAGTAACAACGCTACTTGTGGCGACGCTACTGCCCAACACTGGCGTATACTGACTAGTAACAATAACTAGCTAAACTAACAAAACAATAACTAACTAACAAAAGTCAAGGAGAGTGGAGCTTATGATGTGCTGCAAATTCAGTCTGCTATGTAACACACCCATGACCTATTACAGCAGGCTGAAAAAGTGATTGATTGAAAGATTGACATTTCCCTCTGAAGAAATAAATATATCAGAGAATATGGAAATAAATTCAACAAACTCTTACATGCAAACTAAACAATACATAAATTAAAAATGTTCCCCAAAAGAGAAGCATTGCTTATGGAGTCTGTCCCTGTTGTATTCTGCATTCCTCTTTTTGAAAAACTCTCACGAAGCAGGCTGGTTCTCGAATTATGTAACATCCAAAACTGGTCCCGTTCAGTCTACTTCTGGATGACAGTTTGTTCAAAAGAACCACAAATGCAGGCGGCTCAGGTTCAATCAGTCACATCTGACTGAACATCCAGTGACTGTTAGCGTGGTGCGCTAACAGTAGAAAAAAAAAATACTTTGCAAAGTAGGCTATTTAGCTCAGATGGATAGAAAATGGTGATAATAATGCCAAAGTCATGGGTTCTACCCCCATACTGGCCAGTGGTGATCTTTTAAAAACTTCAGGTGGTCGGATTGTCCTCTTCATACTGCTCAGACGCAAGAGCTTTCTGATTTAAACAAATCCGCACCTCTTTTGCCAAGTTGCAAGGACTTCACACATGACTGAACATCCAGTCACTAATAGCGTGGTGCTAACAATGCCAAATTTTTTTAATTCTGGAAAACATTATGTTAGCATGGCGCTTATAGTGACAAGATCGTGAGTTTGATTCCCATACTGGCCAGTCATAGTTCTGTAACAAGACTAGATCTGCAACTGTTGTAAGATGAGAATAAGGGTCCAAGCCTAAGTGACTCCATTAATGCCAAGTTAGGAGGATTTCACAAATGTTGTTGCTTGGGAGTGCTCTAAAATTTAAGGCAGTGCAAAACTCAAAGTGGCTGTCACATTATTTAAACTTTATTTAGGAAGACACAATTTACGCACTTTGCCTCAATTGTCAGAGATGATGCGTGGCGCAGCACCTTCATGGATGACTCTTATAGGTTTAAATACCTGAAGATGAGAAGTATATTTATACTGAGGTGTATAATCACTTGCCTGTATGAGGGTTAAACCATGACCTTGGCGTTATTAGCACCACACCATATGAGGTAATTGGCCTGCTTTGGATAAATTGTTTTTTGAAAATTGAATGCAGCATACAACAGGGACAGAATAAAAAAGGTCCAAGGATTCTTATTGGATGGTTAGTCAGGCCTGACCACCTTCACATTCAGCTGAGCACTTCACTTGGACCGTCTGAGCCCCTTGCGTTTGTGTATCTTTAACAAATTGTCCTCCAGAGGTCATCCGAAATGGACCAGTTTTGGATGTTCAGTCATGTGTGAACTGCTCCCAACTTGGCAGAAGTGGAGTGGATGTTGTTTTGGAACTGGAATGCAATCACTTTGAATATGGGCAGCTGCCATGGCTTTAACCATTTTTCCATAAATCAGGCTTTGGCTTTCAACCACAAAGGGACTCGAATCCTCAAACTTCTGATCTGAAGTCAGACGCCTTGTCCATTAGGCCCCATGGTCCCATTTTAATCATTCACATCTTGTTACAGTTGCTGATTTATTGTCTTGTTACGGAAATGTGGAAATCCAACTCAAGATCTTAGCGATGTTAGCACCATGCTAAGAAATGGCATTCAGGAACATCAACGGCTTAGCACAAACAAACGGAGACTGACTGGGAAGCAGACTCAGGTGTTAGTGCCTCTGAGCTTGGTGTGAGTTAAATAATTTACATTTTAGTGCACTCGCTGGTTGGCAGCAGCAGGACACTGCAGAGACCTTGATTTGTTAAATTATAATCACTGGCCAGTAGGGGGATTCAACCCATGACCTTGGCATTATTAGCACCATGTGCTAACCATCTGAGCTAGCCAGCCTGCTTTAGATAAATAGTTTTTTGAAAATTGAAT